AAGGTTGCGAGTTTAGTGGTGGAGCTGGAGCTGGTGGAGATGAGTATGCAAAGAAGACCCTCTGAAATGAGGCCAATCTGTTGTGGTGGCCATCCCCTCTGTGTTTCTGGTTGTTCAAGTGGCAAATGGATGGGTCTGTCAATGCTGTTGAAGAGGTTGCAAGTGATGAGGAGACTGTAGTCTTAGATAACAAACAAAACTAGTAGGAGTGAACTTTATTGGCAAAATATTGCTTTTCATGTACGTCCTAAGGAACTCCTCAAGCACTACACTGATTGATAAAAAGCTTGGCTCGCCCGTAAAAAGGGATGCTGGACTGCTACCGGTAGATGACTGCATGCATGTGATTGATGACAGCTCTTTGTATTGACATTGAAGAAGCCGGGAATACCGGTACAGTCCAGGACGGGGATACTGTAGATCGTACCAGTAGCCTCGTACTCGTTGTTTCTACATGTATGCCAGGATACTCGACTTCGGCTTGGAGTTCCGCCGCACTGGGGAAAAATGAGTTCGATTGTCTATGTGGAAGATTTTCGGTACGAGTATCCACGATTGGGTGTGAGATGCTGTTTCGGCAACCAGCGCCTGCTCGACTCGACTCGGACTGTCATTTCGAGGGCAAAGCGCTCGAGATAGGAATATTCAGGACTGTGCCTTATGATGAAGCACGAACACATCTACTTGGGGACACCACTTGCCTGCGTTGCAACCGGGAGTGGGGCATGGCTACTATTCGATTATGCTTTTAAAAGCTACTGCCAATTTATGTAGATATGTAAATTCATTCTGGGCTGTTGCATTTCCATTTCTTCGTCGCTGGACAAAGCTACTAGTATGCACCGGCAAAGCCAACGTCGTTTGTGGCAAGAACGTCAAAGATGCACCGTTCGTAGCTCTCCTCCCCGACACGAGCACAGGCAATTTCAGCATCCTCGCGGGTAACGGCAGAGGCTCCCAAACGACGCTTTTTGGTGGCGGCCCTTTCATCCTCATCAGGCATTTCACAGGTTTCAGGGTGCTGAGCCCCATTGATATTGTGGAACAGCATAGGCTCGGTAGACTGGACCTGCCATTCTTTGCCGAATGCATTTGGATCTTCCTCCATAAGTGTCAGCCATCATGGCGCCTCCGTTGACAAAGGAACCCATCAAGCCCTCTGCGTCAACAAAATGTTCCGCTTTCTGCGCCTTGACCTTGACTGCCACCCAATTTTTGAAAGTCTCAATACTAATTGCGTCTCGATCCTTGATGATTGAGGTTCAGACGGAATCTGTGCTGCTTGGCGGTAATGTGGGTGTAAAAAACTTGGGAGCCAGCAAAGGAAGCTTCCAATTCGGATTGAAGGGTCACCAAGTTGGGGTCCTTCTGCGCATCGACCTTGTCGCCAGGCAATCCGTTCACCCAGTAATTGGGACCTTCTCCCTCGGGACCACCCATTACCTCGATCATTTGGTCGCCAATCTGAACCACAACAGCCTCAATGTAAGACCACCAAGTCTCAATCTTGGTTCGAATGTGGATCGTGAGACCAATGCCATTTCCGAAGCTTGGGTTTCTCATCAAGACAATGTCGCAACCTCCATGGAACTGCAGTAGTAATGAGAGAAAGACAAGCGTTGGTTAGTACTAGTATAGAGTAACAGGGGAATAGCAAGTGGCACCATTGGTGAGTCTCACATCGAATTTGTGTCCCCCAAAGGTGGTAAAATGAGGGTCGCCGCTTCCGTGGGACTTTTCCAGCACCGCAGGCCGCGGACCAATCGGCATCGGGACCCACGGCATCAGTAGTAATAAAATATCCAGTTGGAGGATCCGCCTGAACCTTCAGCAAAGAGACCAAAAGGGACGTAGACAGAAGGACAAACTTCATGATAGACAAATGATTCTAAGAGGGAAGAAGAATTTAAGAGGGCGGGGGGTGATACAAGAAGTCGGTGAGAGATGGAATGCGGCTTGTCAGAAGCACTTCTTCCCGCTTGCTTGTGATTACGTACCAATTATTGTTGAGTGTTGCTTGTAGTTTGGTTGTATTCATTTGTTTCAATTTCTAGTAGTGCTTCGAACAAAAATCCATCATTGTTCTACTAGTAATGATTTAGGCTTGGGGGTTCCAAGCATGATCCTGCTCCTGGATAGATGCATTGTTCTCCGGCAAGGTACTTAGCATGTTCGTCCGCTTGGATCTGATGAGCGGTCTCCCGTTCAATTTTGACCCGTTCCATTTCGAGTTCACGGCGGCGTTTCTTGTCAATGTCTTCCATCTGCAGGCGATGTAACTCCTTCATGTTCTCCTCGTGGCGACGCTGTTCCTCCTTGAATTCCTGGTTGCGCTTGCCAAAGAAAAGCTTGAAGGCATCGACTTCATGTTCTTGCTGAGTGGTACCTGTGGGAGTGTCACATACTACTAGTAATACACTCATACTTGGGTTGACTTTCCGCGTTGTGGCAGTAAATAATGTACTAGTATGTCTTCCAGTGCAGTTACACGATCTATTCATAGGGATTCATAGGGGACCTACTCTAAACCCCCCCTTTCATAGGGGACTTAGCTTTGTCATAGGGGACTCAGCTTTGTCATAGGGGACTCACCTTTGTCATAGGGGACTCACCTTTGTCATAGGGGACTCAGGTTTGTCATAGGGGACTTAGCTTTGTCATAGGGGACTGGTGTTTCGTCGGTGATTGACTGTGACTCAACTCAACTCGACTCGACTCGACTCCACTGTCACTCGACTTGACACTTGACTGACTCGACTCGAGTGACTCGTCACTCCACTTTTCATCTATCTGCAATGATCTGCATCGTACTATTTTATTTTATTTTATTTTATTAAAGTACTCTGAGAAGCTGGGCAGTACCGGTACCGGTAGCGGTACTAGTACCGGGTACAAAGCATGAATCTTGATAGAGTAAAGGTATAGGATCGAGATAGCTATCCAAATAATGTTGACGCCATCTTGATAGAATAAATGTACTAGTATTGATCGAAATAATGAAAAAAAGAGGAGTGGCAACCATGTTTATCAGTCGGTGGCCATCCCTCGTTGGTCCTCTCTTTTAAGGTTTGTGGGATTGAATGAACAAAAGCCAAATCCACAGCTGCAACAGCAATTTTCCACATTCTGAGGCAATTCCTATGTCTATGTATCTGTTGCACGAGAAGATGGAAAACTGAACTTGTTGCTCGTCTTCTGGTTGTTGTCTAACCGGAGGTTAAGAGAGGGTAAACAGTCCATCTGACTGACTCTCCGGCGCACGAAATAAAGGATCCTCTCAGTCGACCCAGTCAGTCAGTTTCCTCCATATATTCAACAATCACGTGAAAGCTATGCTCTTTCCTCTACTCGACAATGACGGCTACGATCGATCGACAATGGCGGCTTCGAGCGGTAGACAATGACAGCGAGCGGTAGACAACAACAGCGATCGGTCGATCGTCGGCAACAACAGACAGAGTCCAGTCCAGTCAGTAAAAGCACTCGGTGATAACTTGGTCCAGTCGATTAAATTTGATTCTGTTACTTGTCGATTCGCTGGCATGGATCTCGGATCTCGGTACACTCGGATCCCTGCTATTGGACCCGAGATCGGCCTCTTCGCTGGAGACTGGGTGAGATCCGCGGGGATCGGGAAGACCAAGATCCGAGATTGGCCAAGATCGGCGATGCATAGGGCGAGATCCAAACAATATCCATGATCACGCTCCAGCTAGGGTTCGAGTTATGAATCCCGCTGACGGATTTCGATCGAAAATGACTCCCTTTTTTTTTTATGAATCCCTTCAGCGGCTGTTGGCTTTCTCGATGGCCCTGTGGCAATGGGAAACCATCCAGACTGCCCACAGCGAAGACCGGGAAGCATAAACTAACTATTAGATACTCGTGACTGCTTATCAGTGGCTGCAGCGTCCTCTCATTTGTGCGGCAAACGAGAGTAAGAGAGAGGAAGGAACGTTCGTCGCGACGATGAGGCTGCAGTACAAAGGTCGTTCGATATTTCGGCCAAGACTACACCGCAGGAACGTTCCTAGGCTTACAAGGGAAGCGAGTCATGGAGTCATGGGCGAAGCAAACAAGAGATCGATCGTAGAAGCAACAACAGGCGAAGCAAACAAGAGATCGATCGTAGAAGCAACAACAAGTGACCATGGCGGAGGCTGATTCTGATTCCGAGGATGGTTCAGTCGCTCACTCAGTGGCGGAGCCTGAGCCCGACACGCTGGAAGACTTTTATGAAGAGATTGATCTCCATTGGTTGTCAGATGACCAGGTGCGAGAGATGTACGAAAAGGATGATCAAGCAAAGGTCCCACCACCGTTGAGCGACTGGGCGGAAGTGGACCCAAGAGAGACGAAGTACCACATTACGGTTGGAAAGGCCAGGAGAGTGCTTTGGCAGCAATTCCAGCATGAGCATGCACTCTTTAAGAGCAACATTGCCAAGATCAAGGAGAAAATGGGTGCCACGACGGAGCTGATGACGGTGTACAAGTTTCTATTTGGTCAAGACAGTCGGATTGGAGCGCTATTCCAAGTCAAACTGGAGCTCTCGAAACAAGAGTATCTCCATTTCATGGTCACCTTTCTGAAGTCTTGCCGCTACAAATTGCCAGTTGCTGCTTTGCATCGATCTATTGACAACTTTGATTTGATGCCATTGAAGCAATACAATCAGATCTGGAGCAGGCTCTCCTCTCTACCAAGGAATGCTCGGGGAGAATCCTTTTGGCAGGAGCTAGAATTGATTATCAACGATTATTTGATGGAGCTCTTCATTGGACCAAACGATGATGAGGAAACTGTTGGGTCTAATAACACTGCAGCTACTAGTAATATCAAGGTTAATTTGTTGATTTGGGCGAGCTGAGAAGAAAAAGTGATCTTTCTGGCTGGTCGCTTTGAAGTCTGGATCTGAGAATGCCAGTTTCCTTAAATTCCTACGGTGGTGCGGTCTTTTTCTTATCCGGGTCCGCTAAATATCTAGACCGGCCAACACACTCCTGCCGTGGTCCCTAATGGATCCACGGAACGATTAAAACTAAACTAAATAGGAGGATGCCCCATAATAAAAGCGCGATGCGCATGGAATAGGGCACCTTGGAGGGGCTTCGTGAGAAAGTCCCCGTGCATGTCCTGTGTGGGACAATACACCACTCGTACATTTCCCTGCTTCACTTGGTCGTGAATAAAGAAGAAACGCACATTAAGAGCACGAGTACGCTTACCGGCGCTGCTCTTACCATTCTCAGCGAGAATGATAGCACTCTTGTTGTCTTGATAAAGGATGTTCTCCTGAACATCAACACCTTGAGCCTCCAGAAATAACTTGGTCCACAACAAAGGACTCATAACATCGTCGGCTCCAATGAGTTCGGCGTCGGTACTGCTGCGAGCGTTGAGCTTCTGCTTGCTAGAGACAGCAATGGGTGCACCGCGGCCGAAACTGAGCACTCCTCCAGTATGGGATCGATAGTCGGGATGAACAGCAAAACTCGCGTCAACCCACCATCGGATAATACGAACGTCGTCAGCATGGAGGATGAGCTTGTCATTCAAAGTCTGTTGAATAAACTTGAGGCCTTGGAGAAGTTTTCCCCAATCGTTCTGGTTCGGCTGTTTCACTCGAGTACAAAGGACGGTAGTCAATGTCTGCATATCTGGACGAGCACGTTTACAGGCGAAGAGTAGCTTGGCTGTAACTGGGTCGGAACTCACTCCTGTGCGACTGAGCATCGGGGCTCATCGCAGACTGTTGCTGGGGAAGCTGGGCTGCGGTAACTGTCTGTGGGACCGGAGCCGTCGGATTTAGAAAACAAGTTCCAAGTTCTGAAGAAGCAGTTCTTCTACCACAGTACCATCAGTTTCTGAAGCTTCC